TAAGACAATAAATAAGACAATAAATAAGACAATAAATAAGACAATAACAAAAAAACTCTAGAATACTGTTAGATACTGTTATTTCGTATGCAATCCTCACCTGTTGCCTTACTACTGAAAACAAAACTAAATCAACTACTTGTCCTGCTCCAAGTCCAAACTAAATAATGCACTTCAAAAAAGTTTTATCTATCCCCATCAAGATGATGCAATGTAAATCACATTTGTCAAATAAAATATAAGCCTTGTTGTGGGAGTCTCCAAGTCTCAGTTACTCTAATGGCCTTTTCTGAGCAGTCTCCAACCAATAATTCCTTTGAAAATCATCAAGCCTGGGGCAGACAATATTCCAAGGCAGCTATTAAAAAAAAAAAATCATAATTTGGATTGAAATCAAATGCTCGTCAGAAATGATCAAATATGCAGCTAGCTCTTTTTAAAAGAAAATCAGCTGCACATTGATTAGGAACTTGTAACACCAAATTATTTTCCACTGTCGCTCACAGCCATCTTCTATGTTCATGGACTTCAATTCAATATTCACATTCTCACCTTTGGCCAGAGGAAATAAAAAGCCATCTTATATTACACCATATTAATTCAATACAACACAGAAACAGGCCCTTTGGCTCTCTAAGTCTGTGCCGATACTAATCCTTATTTAGCCCCGCTACTTAGCGCCCATGCGCAGTTTCTATCCGCTTGTTCGTCTGCCATTCACGTGTGTATCAAGATATGCCTTAAACATTGCTAACACGCCTGCTTTCACCATCTCCACTGGCAGTGAGTTTCAGACACCCACCCACCTCTGAAAAAAATTCCCCCGCATTTCTCCCCTAAACTTTTGCCCTCTCACCTTGAACCTGTGCCCTCTTGACTATCCACCCTATCTATGCCTTGGATAATTTTGTAAACCTTTAGTGCCTCTCAGCCTCCAGCTTTCCAGGGAAAACCATCCGAGTTTATCCAGCCTCTCCTCATAACTAAAACCCTCTTGACAAGGCAACATGCTGGTAAATCCTCTCTGCATCCTCCCCACTGTGGGGAGGAAGAAAAATCAAAGGTCATACGTAATGAGTAACTGGGGTGAAATCTTATAGGGATCTGAGCTAATGTGGGTTGTAGCGAGTTGTGTGGCACTATCAGGCAACAAATGCAGCAAGTTCCATCTTGACATCAGAAAAGCAACATGTGCCACCTTGTACACTTTTCACATGCAATGGTGAGATTCTCATGAGGCAGCAGCATGTCGTCAAGTGACTGGGGTTCTTGCTTGTTCAACGCCTTGTAAACAGCCCAACTCACTTAATTTTCAGCCTCCTATCTTACCAAACAAGCTCAACATTGGTAAAATTCATCAAGGAAACCAGAGCAAGCATCTGGTGGATTCAGTCCTGCTACCTCCATCTTTATGATAACCAATAGCTGTCTCTCTTCACCGTAAGGTTCAGATACAAGTGTTGGTTCAAAAGTCAGTTATTTGAAAAAGATGATTAAACTCGATTTCTAAATAAAATTAGTTCATTTCTTTAAATTTCTGAAGGGACGATTAACAAGGCACAGAATGAAACATTTATTTCCCTCAAATGAACCATGACATTGAGCACCATTAAGATAATGAACCCCTCCCCACCATGTTCTGTTTTGAAGTATCAAAAAAGGCAAGTCAGGTACAAGATAAGGGAAAATCTGATTAGGTGCTTCATGCACTTAAGAGTGTCAAACCATGATTGCTGAACAGGTAGCATGGTAACAAATGCTCCGTTTTCATTTGTTCACAAAGGCTTAAATAATCTGTATAG